CTCCTCCCAGTTTGGTATCATCAGCAAACTTGCTGAGGGAGCACTCTGTGCCTTCATCCAGGTCATTGATGAATAAATTGAACAGGACTGGACCAAGGACTGACCCCTGGGGGACCCCACTAGCCACAGGCCTCCAACTAGACTCTGCACCGCTGATCACCACTCTCTGGGCCCTGCCATCCAGCCAGTTCCTAATCCATCTCACTGTGCACTCATCTATCCCACACTTCCGGAGCTTGCCCAGGAGGATGTTGTGAGGGACGGTGTCAAAACCCTTGTTGAAGTTGAGATAGATGACATCTACCGCTCTCCCCTCATCTACCCAGCTGGTCATTCCATCATAGAAGGCTATCAGGTTAGTCAAGCAAGATTTCCCCTTTGTGAATCCATGCTGGCTTCTCCTGAGCACCTTCTTATCCTCCATTTGCCCAGAGACAACGGCCAGCATGAGCCGTTCCATCACTTTTCTGGGGACGGAGGTGAGGCTGACTGGCCTGTAGTTGCCTGGGTCCTCCTTCTTGCCTTTTTTGAAGACTGGTGTGACATTGGCTTTCTTCCAGTCCTCTGGCACCTCCTCTGTTCTCCAGGATCTTTCAAAGACGATGGAGAGTGGCTTAGCTATGACACCTGCCAGCTCATGCAGAACTCGGGTGCATCCCATCAGGGCACATGGATTTTTGGGTATTGAGTTTCCTTAGGTGCTCTCTGACCCAATCTTCCTCTACCCAGGGCAAGCCTTCCTCTCTCCAGGCTTCTTCTCTTGTGCCTAGGGCCTGGGGCTCTAAAGGGCTGCCCTTGTTAAGCACCGAAGTAAAGCAGGCATTGAGCAACTCTGCTTTTTCTGTGTTATTTGTAACCAGGGTACCCACCCCGTCCACCAGCAGACCCACGTCTTCCCTGGTCTTCCTTTTGCTGTAAATGTATTTGAAGAAGTTTTTCTTGTTATTTTTAACATCCCTTGCCAGATTGCATTCCAAACGTGCCTTAGCTTTCCTTGTCACATCTCTGCATTCCCTGACTACGTTCCTGTATCTCTCCCTGAGGGCCTGTCCTTTTTTCCACATTCTGTATACCACCTTCTTCTGCTTGAGCATTGCCACAAGCTCCTTGCTCATCCACATAGGTCTCCTGCCCCCTCTGCCTGACTTCTTACACACAGGGACGCACTGTTGCTGGGCATGGAGGAAGTGCCGCTTGAAAACTAGCCAGCTCTCTTGGGCCTCCCTTCCTTCTAGAGCTCTAGCCCATAGGATTCTTCCGAGGAGGTCTCTGAAGAGGCTAAAGTTGGCCCTCCTGAAGCCCATCGTTGCACGGCTCCCTACAGCCCTGCCTCCTCCTTGTTGGATCCTGGCCTCCACCAACTCATCGTCACTGCAGCCGAGGCTACCCCCCAGCTTCACATCTCCTACAAGTCCCTCTCTATTTGTTAGTACGAGATCCAGTAACCCACCTCTCCTCGTTGGCTCCTCCACAAGCTGTGTCAAAAAGTTATCATCAATGCTCTGCAGGAACCTCCTGTTTGTGCCTGGCTGTGTTGTCCTTCCAGTTGATGTTGGGGTAGTTGAAGTGCCCCATGAGAACCAGGGCCTGTGACTGAAAGGCAACATCCAGCTGACTATAGAAGGCCTCATCAGCTTCCTCGTCCCGGTCAGGTGGCCTGTAGCAGACACCCACCACAGCGTCTCCCACATTAGCCTGCCCTCTAATCCTTACCCACAAGCTCTCAACTTGCTCATCCTCCACTCCCAGGTTGAGCTCCATGCATTCCAGTTGCTCTCTCACATAAAGAGCAACTCCACCACCCCGCCTTCCCAGCCTGTCCTTCCTAAACAGTACATAGCACATATCAATTTATCAAGCATTTTCTCAACATGAAAAGACTAAATAAATAAAATCTGTTTTTTTTTTCTCTGCTCAGTCTGAATCACTGTCATCTTTTATTACTTACTGCTTCTTGATGCATTCCTCAAAAAAAAAAGTAATTATCTTTTTTTTTTTTCATTATTTTTTCCTAGCCACAAGAATGTTACCAGGTACAAGCCCTGGCTTACATGAAACAGCTCTTGATCACATCTTTACACTTCAGCTCACAAGAGTCAGCGCGGGTATTTCATGCATCAGCCAGACAGCGGTGCTGCAGCAACAGTAGCCTTCAAGAGAGAGGCAAAGCACAGGTAAAGACAGCAGCACCATCTACGTGCAGGAAGGGCTGAGGGGAAGGGGAGCATCCTGCAGCAGGAAGGACACGGCTGCACTGCTGCGTTACCTGGCTCTTTCTGCCCACCCCAAAACCTTTTAGGGCGGTTCACAAAACACCTCGATCTTTGGTCCTGGCTGCCACAACTAATGCTGCTTATTTATGCCTTAACCAAACAACAGCATATTGAAATTGCTCTCTTCCTGCCATATCTGTAATTCTAAATGCTCATAATGAAGCCTCCGAAGTCTTACTTTGATTGCCCACATATAAGCACATCACAATGATGTGCTCAAACCGAGCACAACCATCACTGATAAACATGCTGTTACGAGCCTTTGCTTACCAAAAATATGATCTGCAATATAACGAATCGCGACAGTTGGCATGCCAGTAATGAAATAAGTATTTCTGAAAGAAAGGAAAATCCTAACTCTGCATTACATTTTACAGGTAAAATAAAAGGATTTTGTGTTTTCTCCAGTTGACCATTAATTGACCATTAATGGCAAAAACCAACATCCTAACAAGGAATCAGCAAGAAGATTATGGTTGTTTTCTAGGATAGTTCCAGATATCTAAAGT